AGGAAGGAAGGAAGGAAGGAAGGAAGGAAGGAAGGAAGGAAGGAAGGAAGGAAGGAAGGAAGGAAAGGAGGAAGGGAGGAAGGAAGGAAGGAAGGAAGGAAGGAAGGCTTAATATGCTTTTATTTACAAAAGCCCAGCGCTAAAGACTCAGATGCTCAGCATAAAATATTCTGCATTTTTAATTTCTTGTTAAGTAGCAAAGTCTTCAGATCTGAGGTTGATGGTCAAGTTCAGTCAGTGAAATGGCCGTATTTCCTTCTGTTCCGATGGCTACTTCAGAGTTCTCTTTCCCATACTTTTAATGTGTCAAACAGCCATATACAAATTCTAGATGGCAGAATTCAAGTAAAGTTGAAGTAAGACTGGTGAAATGAGTAAGGCCCATGCTAGCTGACACAGGGATTTTGGTTTATGATTATGAGATTAGTCTGTCTGTGAAGCATCTTTGAGAGTTCTGAGAAATGCCATCTCCTGCTAAATGTTAAATGTGTGTTAAATTTTACTCTGTTGTTTATTTCTTCTGTGAGATATTTCATAAGAGCACAATTCATTGCAGGACAACCATTTTTTAACGACTTGGATGTGCCCTGTTACAGGGATGTTTTCTCAAAGTATTGATCATAACAGTAGTGTAATAAATGTCCTTACTCTGAAAACAGGCAAAGGCAAAGCTCTAAAGACCTTCCTGCCTCTCGGCTTTGTTCCAGCACCCAGAAAACCAATGCAACTATTATTATTTTTATGCAGTCTCTGAAGAAAGGTAAGTGTAGATGAGAATGCCCTTGATCCTTGCAATTTATTATATACAGGTTCATTAGACAAAAAAGCAAAAAGTATTTAATATGTTCATTTCTATGAATATTATAACTTTTAACTACAAAAAGGAAAAAGGGAGGGGGAAGCTTTCAGTGTCTAGGTTCCCTCTTTATTTGAAAGACCAAACATGACTCAGTGGTTTTTTTGGGGTTTTTTTGCATTGTGTATATGGGGAAACCCAGAACACAACTCATTTGAGGTGGTGACAAGGATGCCTCATGTTAAACAGTGAAATGTCCCTCCCACACACACTTTCAAATTGTAAATTCAAGATTAACAGATGCAAAATGCATTTTAAATATGTAGTGTTTATGTTGTCCCTAGTAATCTCAACATGTCACCATAATGACTACAACCCCAAGCAGTACTGAAGAGTTATTTTTAGCAAACAGCTGACAGTGACTCGCAAACTTGAAGGGAATTCTAGCAGTGGAGCACAAAGGAGGACATTACTAATATTCATGTTTTCCCACAGATAAACTCAAGGTCTTGCACAGTGACAGACTGCACATAAGGATGCCTCATAGCCCAGTGCTGAGGTGGTTTTCCTGCAAAACAAAGACTGGCTAAAACATTATGCAGATCCTTAAGAATCAAAGGCCCCTGGCTTTACAAGGCCAATTTACAGCCTGATTTTAAGTTCTCATTTTCAATGCCAGACAGGTTCAAAAAGAATGTCTGTTTTCATTTCAGCTGGGCTAATCCATACATAACATCCTTTCCCACTATTTACTAGACTGCAGCTATCAAATGAAGATATGATGTCTGTGTTTGGGTTACTTGCTTTAAATTCTAATGACCATGATGTAATCACTATAATCAAGCAAGCTTGTCTGTCTTTGAGTTTGGGTCTCTTTGCCATAGGCCCAGAGTTTCTAGCTGTGTCATTTAAACTAACCATAACACTGCCCAATTTTCAATTAACAGTGAGATTGTTATACAAAGTTGTGTGGCCCTAATTTAAAGGCTGCTTTCCAAGGCTCTTTGTTCTTTTTTAAAAGTTTACTAATATTTAGATAAGTAACCTCAATTTGCAGTTAATCTTTGCAGTTAATGCTTGGTTAAACTGAACTTTCCCTGTTTTTTTGTCAGTAGTCATCATGAGTGGTTTTTTTCCAAATACTCATTAACCCTCTTCACATCCAGTACAGATAGGACTTTTGGGCAGGGTTACTCAGGAAGAATTTTATTTAAATCAGTTCTGAAGATTTGTGAGCAAAAATAAATTAAATTATGTTCCTTTAATGTCTTAGCTCCTTTTTTTCAGGGAAAATTTTAGATTTTACATGTCTTGCTTTTTTTCAGAAGAAAATGTGACAACTGTGGATAAATTGCAATGCTAAAGCAATGAAGGGAAGAGAAAGCAACAGGATTCAGAATGTTGCTTTGTTTAGCTTCACTTGCCTACATCTCCTCTCTGCCTGAGAGCTTGGTTCCTTGGCTTTGAGAGTAAAATACATGCATTTTTTACATCATTTCTTGATATGTGAAAACCTAATCTAAGAAAATATTAAGCTCTAAATGCATTGAGTTTGGCAGAACTGCATTTGCAAGAAGATCTTAAAAATTATTGAAGATTAAAAGAAAAAGAGAGGAAACACACATACACACAATAAGCACCAATTAGTTAGGATTAAAATAGGAATTTATGCTAAGTATCAGGCAACAATTCCTGCCAATTAGATGTTTTCAAGGAATAATCAGCTCAAGGAAATATATTTGGGATTTTAAACTTCATAGGAAGCAAATGCCACAGAACAATTCTTCATTGGCATAAAATGGGCTGATGCTCTATGTCATCCTGTTTGAATATCCCAGATATATTTTGTTGTCTCATATCAGGGCATAGGATACATGTGTTATTTTATCCCAAGGTATGTCTGCACCAGTACCCTGTTTCTGACAGGAATCCATTGCAGATGTTTAAGGGAATATATAAAAGCAAGGCATATTTAAATACTTTGATTAATACTTCATAAAATTAGATAAATATAAATAGTGTGGAAATTACACTATTTCTTTCTATTGCCATTTGTTTAGGAAATCCTGGATGACGTTTAAATGCTATCACTGAACATTATTTATTTCAACTTCATGCAGCATTAATTCCTTTTTAGGAGACAGGAAATTTTTTGGACATAAATCAGCCAAGCTGTTGCTCACTCTGTCTAGGGTGAGTTGCTTATGAGCAACCCCAATAAAGGGCTTAGTGTGTGTTTGACTGTCATGTCTAGGTGTCCTACAATGGCTCACATGCAGGTGAGGGTCTTTCCTGGTAAAAGAGGATTGCTCAGCCTCTGATATCCACTTGGTATTTGCAGTCTTAGTATAGTCTAATTTTTAACTGAAAGTCTTCCTCTAAGGAGTTGAAAACCCTTTTATATTAAAATAAAGCCATCTGTGACTATATATTTTTTTAAAGGGTTTTTTTTAATGTAATCTTCACAAAATCATGGAATCACCACGGTTGGAAGAGATCTTTAAGATCATCAAGTCCAACTGTCAACTCAGCACTACAACTGCAAATCCTAAACCACCTAGCTATCTTAGACAGAAATTTCGAGAGTGATTTTTAGCATAAAAAACCATAACCAAAATTAAATTTGTGAACAGCAACACTGAAATTTTGTTTCCATACAAATGTATGCAGCCAA